CATGGCACCCTCAGTATTCTCCTCCAACACCACAACTCAAAGGCATCAATTCTTCTACGATCCTCTTTATTCACTGTCCAGCTTTCGCATCCATATGAAGCTATGTTTCATGATACTTGAGCAAGTCCAAAGTCCTACCCAAATCTCCAGTCTGTTTACATACCCTGCTCACATTCATTATCTGGCCAAGGTCACTTAAAAACCCAACAAGTGCTTCCCTGGTGATGGAGAGAACCAGAAGCTTTCCTCCAATGGAAATTCCTCCATACCTGACAAGAGAACAAGAAATCCTCAGGTCAGTGCCACGAATCACGCCTGTGGTACTTCATATCTACTAGCAGCTCAGTCAGTTTCTGTAGGGAGGCATGTCCTTTTCGGGATATCATCTAGACTAGTGATTGATATTGCTCCACTTGGCAAATCAACTTTTAATTCTTCCCCATTGTCTCTGAGATGAAGTGCAGACTCTGCATCTTGTATAAGGTCTTTCTGAGTCTGGTCACTGCCAATCTCTCTAATCTCATCTCTCCTCTCACTTTTCCTTCAGTGGCATATTTTGGCCATGCTGATCCAGAGCTCCAGGTGGTGCAGGCTGCCTTCATGTCTCTCTGCCTGTGGAGGACAGCTAGCTACCCTGGGGTGCCTTTTGCTTCTTGAGCATCTTTTCATCTCATGTTTTCCAACTCATCTTTTTATATGTCATCATCTCTTTGAAGTCTTTGCCGACTGCTTTCCCTCTCCCTAATCAGTGACTCCCTTGCTATGCTACCTCTATATTTTGTAGCTTTATGGCATCATTTGACTCACTTCACAAATAATCAAGACCAAATCCTGCCATCCTTCTCAGTGCTTCTCACCAAGGTCTCGGCAGGATTGTCAACCTCTCCTGCCTTGACTCTTGATCTAGCTTCTTATCTGGGATCCCAGCCTTGGGCCTCTTCCTAGCATCTCCTCAAAACTTTAGGAGTCTAAAGTGATCTTGCTAAAACACAGATCTCCAGTTTGAAATAAAAGGTCAGCTCTTCAACAGAACAAAATTAATTTGCATATTAGGGGAGAAGATATGTATTTCTAAGGGTCTCAAATGTGCCATCTTTCTGCTCAAGCTGAGAATCCCAGGAGTGATATCACCTCGTCTTTTATTGTGGTCCAGGAAAAAAGTCAACATTGGGGTTACCCAATAAGCTCAATAAGGATTCTCCAAAACTCTGGAAACGCTTGAGCCTCTAGCATGTCTCAGGAAGGTGGGGAGTCTGGGGCTAGAGTGGACTCCTGGAAGCTTACAAAAAATGAGCCAAGGCTTGCGTTATGAAACCCCTCAATGAAACGTTCTAAACTGTATATGCTGGGAGTTTTAAGGACCTGCTTTTGGGTGAGCTCTGAAACTATTTTTTCAGGGAATACTATTTCCTACTAATGTCCCCCCAGGGAGATCTACCACTGAGCATTTCCTGAGTTCAGGGTGACCCTGGCTATCTATTCAGGACATGGCTTGTGAATTCCTGAGCACATCCACAACAGTTTGTCCTTGTGAAGTTGAATTGCGGCAATGATTTTAAATGGATCAATCTGAGATTGTAATTTTATATAAAGTAGTTTCTTTCTTTTGTTCGTGGACCCAGAACTTGCTCTTTAAACTGAAAGCCCAAATAAAATCATACAATGAAAACTACAAGGAGGGCAGTGGTGTTAGTTTTCTTCTCTAACAACCTCTGGGAGTGTCAGTCTTTGGGGGAGAAGGGGTATTTTGTACCACGTGGTATCAAGTAATATGGAAACCTCTCAGCCGACATATGAGCTGAGTGTGAATATCAGTACACATGTGAGAAAGGATAGAATGTTTCCACCATTGGCTATTCAAGTCTATCCTACATGTTGGATTTTCTAGGATGTTGTCAGGGCATGTGCTGGACCTGTAGGTCCCATTTGGAACTCCAAAACACAGCAATCACCCTGCCTATGTGGAATGAAGGCTACTGCTCTCCCCTCTTCCACTCTCTGCAAATTGAGACTCTAATAATACCTGCTGGGACTTCTGACTTACTCTACTGCCCCAAGTTAAGAGACCAACTTCCAGCCAGTGGGTGGGGTGTAAAATGACAAGATTGGAATTGTTGTTGTTGTTGTTAGCTGTCATTGAATCGGCACTGACTCATAGTGACTCTATGCACAACAGAACAAAATACTGCCGGATCCTGGGCCAACCTCACAATTGTTGCCACGCTCGAGCCCATTGATGCTGCCACTTTGCCAATCCATCTCGCTGGGGGTCTTCCTCTTTCTTTGACCTTCCACCTTACCAAACATGATATCCTTCTCCAGCGACTGTTCCCTTCTGACAATATGTTCAAAGTATGAGAGATGAAGCTTGGCCATCGGGAGCACTCTGGCAGCACTTCTTCCAACACAGATCTGTTGGTTCTATAAGCAGCCCATAGACTTTCAATATTCTCCTCCAACATCATAACTCAAAAGCATCAATTCTTCTGTGGTCTTCCTTATTCACTGTCCAGCTTTCACATGCATATGAGGTTATTGAAAATACCATGGCTTGGGTCAGGTGCATCTTAGTCTTCAAGCTGATATCTTTGCTCTTCAACACTTGAAAAAGGTCTTGTGTAGCAGATTTTCCTAATGCAATACACCATTTGATTTCTTGACTGCTGTTTTCATGAGTGTTGATAGTAAATCCAAGAAGAATGAAGTCCTTGACAACTTCTTGTCTTCTTAATGACCTTTTTCTTTCTTCCTGTTTGATGTTCTTAGCTGTTGTTGTTAAGTGCCATGGAGTCAGTTCTGGCCCATAGCAACCTTGTATAGGGTTTCTGAGGAGTGGCTGGTAAGCTTGAACCGCCAACCTTGCAATTCAAAGGGCTTTGCAGCCTGGCACATTATCTCACAGCGTCACACCAGGACTCTGACAGACGAGTGGTGGTGGTGGTGGTGGTGGTGATGTGCTGTGGAGTCAGTTCCGACTCATAGCGATCCTGTACAGGGGTTCTGGGGCTGTAAATCTTTACGGGAGCAGAAAGCCTCATCTTTCTTCAGCGGAACAACTGTTAGTTCCACACTGCTGACCTTACGGTTCACAGCCCGATTCATAACCACTATGCTACCAGACGAGTGGATCCAGATAATTTCTTATTCAAGGCTCTGGTAGAGGTAACAACCAAACGTACAAAAGTACTGCAGAAGGTGCTAACAGAGGCCCCAGTGATGGCTGACTGGGCAGAGGGAGAAGAAAGAGAAAGTAGGGAGTGAAGCGCTCCCTGCCCATCACAGGTCCATCTATCTGAGTAGCAATAGCAACCCAAGTCCGGCAGCAGCCACCACCCACCACCCACCTATCCACCAGACAAGCCTGGAGAACCTGCACCCAGAGCCATGTCCTCTGCCTCACCTGCCTAGATCTTATCTGTGGTCCAGTGCTGCACGGGTCTGGGTTTGGTGCCTTTATACCACTGTTGTTGTTGTTAAGTGCCATTGAGTCGATTCCGACCCATAGCGACCTTATGCACAGCAGAATGAAACAAGGCCGATCCTGGGCCAACCTCACTACTGTTGCCATGCTTGAGTCCATCAATGCTGCCACTTGGCCAATCCATCTCGTTGGAGGTCTTCTTCTTTTTCTCTGACCCTCCACCTTCCCAAACATGATATCCTTCTCCAGCGACTGGTACCTCCTGAAAATATGTCCGAAGTATGAGAGACGAAGTTTGGCCATCCCAGCCTCCAAGGAGCACTCTGGCTGTACTTCTTTCAAAACAGATCTATTGGTTCTTTTGGCAGCCTATGGCACTTTCAGTATTCTCCTCCAACAACATAA